ACTCCTCTCTGATGTACATCTCTAGGGGAAGCCATCATTTCTAATTACCTTCAGAGGGTATCATCGAAACCTCCTTTCTGAAAAAAATTAGTGCATTTATACAGTAAGTCCTCATGTAACGTCATAGGTGGGGTCTTGGAAACTGTGACTTTAAGCAAAGTCCTTGACTAACAGCAGGTCCTTGAATAACGTTGGTTATAATGCTGATGAGGGAAGAAACGGTGGTTCCATTATACATTGTTTTGCTTAAAGTTACAGTTTCCAAGAACCTATTACATTAAATGAGGACTCTGTGTATATTCAAATGAATTATTTTCTGAGTCTGTAGATCACGTGAATGCTAATCGTTCAGTTATATGCCTTAGTTTTAATTTTGGATATGCTAATCCTCATGTTAGGTTCACCATCATTTGGAAACTGAAATATCAGGTCCCCTATCAGCAGCCTAGGGATCTCACATTTAATTAAATACAACTGGGAAGATATTTCTTTAATAACCGTTTAATCTATGATCACGTATCAAGTAAGCACATAGCAGCTCTAATCTTCAGGAATAAATGATTTTCACCTCCCCTCTTTTCTGTAAAATGCACAAATTGCCTTGAGCTCATCTTGGTACTTGAGCTACTTTTCTTTTGAGGGTGACGATCTGTTCCTTTACTACAGTATTTGAAAACTTGTCCTTGAAAATGACCCGAGAGACCAGGGGAAATGCAGTGAGCCTCCTCTTTGAGGATGACAGTCAGTATTTGTCTTTACTTTCCCTCTCCAGCTCCCAAAATCTGATAAAAAGGATACACAATCTATTTGCTTAAGAGAATAAATCCATTCTCCATCACAGAGCTGGGAAAGAAGAAAGGCTCTCAGCATTAAATCAGAATTTGGTTGAGGCGGGGGGTTGCAGATTTCTGGAATATTGAAAACAAACGGCCTAACTTATGAAGAGACAAGGCAGAGAGTTCTACCACCAAACACAGGCATTGTCAGAGGCTTGCCATCCTTCCAAACAGAGCCCCAGAGAAACTCAAGCTTAGGGTCAACAGTAACAAACACAGACCTTAGTTAAAAGGCTGATTGCAGGTGGTCATGCCTCGCTGACACTTTGCATATAAAAATAGGAAAACATAAACACCAAGTAGAGATGCGTGTAAAGGATACTACTAGTCAAAGAAATAAAAATGGCCTTTATGCAAAAAGATGCTCAAACTCTCTAGTAGTCTAGTAGGTACGCGCAAAGAGAATTACAACAATATACCATGTTTTACTCATTTGACAGCTGATGCTATCCTGTAAATGTATGAGTGAGTGGTTTCTTCCCATGTAGGTAGGAATCTAAAGGTATAGTGTTTGTTTGTTTGTTTTCTTAGCTGCTCCAGAGCTAACTCCTAGGCAGTGCACCCAGAGTGAGTCTAACGATACAGTCTTTTGGGATAACAATTTGTCACCATCTGACAAAATGTCCCATGTCTTCATACGGCAATTCTTCTTTGACTTCACAGAAATATTGACAGATGCAAAAGACTACAAGTTCAGGAATGTACCACATAATATTGTTTGCAATATTTAATAATGAGAAACAATCTATAGAGAAATGGATAAGTTATGGTTTATTCATAGTAAGGAATACCATGTTTAAAAGACCTGACATGGAAAAACCCTCAAGACATAGTATTATAAAAAAATAAGCAATGTGCCCCCTGGATTATTCCTAGTGAACCCAAGGTAATCACGCGTCCTTACCAGAAGGGGGCAGTGGAGTTGGGGTCGGACAGAAGATGTAAGGATGGGCATAGAGGTCAGAGGGGCAAGAAGATGCTTTGAAGACTGAGGGAGGGGCCTTGAGCAAAGAAATGCAGAAGCCAGAAAAGGCAAGGAGATGGAATCTTTCCTGGAGCCTATACCACTTTTGCTGTTGTTGATTTTCAAACAATTACAAACATACTGAAATGAAATTTCAGGAAAAGTAGAAACTTTTTTCCTGGATCATGTGAGAGTAATGCTGACACAATGCCCCATCACCCTGAACTCTCCAGTTTGTAATTCCTACAAAAAAGAGATTCTCCTACACAAGCAAAAATGCCACCAGAAAAATCAGGAAATCAACAACGAAGTCTTCCTACAACCAACTCTATGGATTGCACCCTGTTTCTCCAGTTGCACCAATAATATCCTTTATAGCCAAAGGATCCAGGACAGGGTGCCCGGCTGCGTTCACTGTTCATGTCTCTACTCACCTTCCATCTAGAGGCTGTCTTCTCATTGCCTTCTATCAGGTGGCAACGATTCTCATTTGTCCATTTCTGCTGAGATCAACTGTGATCACTGGATTAAGGTGGTATTTGTCAGCTTTCTCTACTGTGCATGACTAATCTTTTGGAATCAGTAAGAAAACGTGAGACTATTGATATATCTCCTTCCTTCCTTCTTCCCTCCTTCCTTCCTTTCTTTTCTTTCTGTCTGTCTTTCTGTCTTTCTCTCTCTTTCTTTTTCTTTTCTTTTTTTTCAAGGTTGGTCTAGCTCTATCACCCAGGCTGGAGTACAGAGTGGCCCGATCTTGGCTCACAGTAGCCTTGACCTCCCTAGGCTCAAGCTATCCTCCTGCGTCAGCCTCGCGAGCAGCTGGGACCACAGGCATGCACTACCACACCAGGATACTTTTCGTATCTTCTGTAGAGACAGGGTTTCACCTGTTGACCTTACGGGAAGTACCATGTTGGCCAGGCTGGTCTAAAACTCCTGAACTCAAATGATCTGCCCACCTTGGCTTCCCTAAGTGCTGGGAATACAGGCATGAGCTACCGTGCCCAGCCTGTTCTTTTCTTAAATACCACTACTTATGCAGAACTAAGTATGAAATCATCCAAATTTCCTATTATCCCAAATTATATTAAGATAATTATTGCGGCCGGGCGCGGTGGCTCAAGCCTGTAATCCCAGCACTTTGGGAGGCCGAGGCGGGTGGATCACGAGGTCGAGAGATCGAGACCATCCTGGTCAACATGGTGAAACCCCGTCTCTACTAAAAATACAAAAACTAGCTGGGCGTGGTGGCACATGCCTGTAATCCCAGCTACTTAGGAGGCTGAGGCAGGAGAATTGCCTGAGCCCAGGAGGCGGAGGTTGTGGTGAGCCGAGATCGCGCCATTGCACTCTAGCCTGGGTAACAAGATCGAAACTCCGTCTCAAAAAAAAAAAAAAAAAAAAAAAAAAAAGATAATTACCGTTGGCTGGGAAAGATAGTATTACACATGGCTTCATTCTTTTACTGTATAGTCCACAGAAATTGAGACTTAATCTTCACATTGAGTGGAAAATAAGAGAGAATATGTTCAGATGACAATAAAAGTCAGAGTAGACTTTCAGACAAAATGACATTAAATATATTTTGACATTGAAACAATTGACCAAGTGCAGTTGAGGAATTTCCTTGACTCGTGATCTTTATAGTAAGAGTAAGTGTAGCAAAACTCAGCTGTTCAACACTTCTTGCTCAAATAACTTCTGTAAAATGCTTAACTTTAGAATATAACCGTATCAGTCAGGGTTCTCTTGTGTGTACATAGACACACAGAGAGAGAGAGAGAGAAAGAGAGAGAGAGAGAGAGAGAGAGAGAGATTTCAAAGAATTGCTCAAATAATTGTGGAGGCCGGCAAGTCTGAAACCCCTAGGACAGGCCCACAGGTTGGAAATTCAGGTAGAAGCTGATGTTGCCATCTTTGAAATCTGTAAGGTAGGCCAAGCAGGCTGGAAACTCTTGAGTGTCTGCGGTGCAAGCTCGAAGCAGAATTCCTTTTTCTCAGGGAAAGCTCAGTCTTTGCTCTGAAAGCCTTCAGCTGATTGGATGAAGCTCACCCACATTCAAGAGGATACTCTACTTTATTCAAAGTCAGCTGATTGTACATATCAATCACATCTACAGAATACCTTCACAGCAACATCCAGGTTCATGTTTAACCAAACAGCTGGGCCCCACAGCCAAGCCAAGTGGACACATAGTGAACCATCACCATAACAATCGCTGTTTTCAGAGACATTGATTTTCTTTCACAATATTAAGTCAAACTTTATATTTCCTATGCACTGTTTAACTAGCATTGAATTCACTCTTAGTTCCTAATAAAGTTTTACTAACACATACATACAAGTCTTATTAGAAAATTGATTTATATATGTTGGAAAACACATTTATTGCATTATTTTGGAAAAGTTTTAGTTTTTGCATGGTCTTTTCTGTGTTCATATATTGAATTTTCTTTGACGATTTTCACAGATGTCACCTATTTGGGGGAAAATATAGATGATTATTATTATCATTATTTTTAAAGACAGAGTCTCATTCCTTTTTTTTTTTTTTTTTTGAGACGGAGTTTCGCTCTTGTTACCCAGGCTGGAGTGCAATGGCACGATCTTGGCTCACCGCAACCTCTGCCTCCTGGGTTCAGGCAATTCTCCTGCCTCAGCCTCCTGAGTAGCTGGGATTACAGGCACGCGCCACTATGCCCAGCTGATTTTTTTTTGTATTTTTAGTAGAGACGGGGTTTCACCATGTTGACCAGGATGGTCTCGATCTCTCGACCTTGTGATCCACCCGCCTCGGCCTCCCAAAGTACTGGGATTACAGGCTTGAGCCACCGTGCCCGGCCAGAGTCTCATTCTTTAGCCCAAGCTAGAGTGCAGTGGCACGATCCTGGCTCACTGCAACCTTCACCTCTGGGGCTCAAGCGATTCTCCTGCCTCAGTGTCCCAAGTAGCTGGGACTACCACACCTGGTTAATTTTTTTGCATTTTTAGTAGAGATGGGGTTTCACCATTTTGCCCTGAGTGGTCTCGAACTCCTGAGCTCAGGTGATCCACCCGCCTTGACCTCCCAAAGTGCTGGAATGACAGGCAGTGGCCACTACGCCCAGCCAAAATATAGATTATTTTTGTAAAACGTGTCACTGAAAGGATTTGGGCAAATAAGAGTGAATCTTTTTTTTTTTTTTTTTTTTTAATTCAGTCTCCGTAGAGACTATCAAAAATTGCCAATGCCGACTATATTGCAAGTCGTCAAGGCGGAGTATTGGGAAAAGTTTTCAATTAGCAATAACGGCGCTTCGGATAAACCTCATTGGCCACGATACCTCAGCTGCGCAAAGCTGAGAGTGAGCGTTTTTGGTGCAGGCTGGCACTCACACGCGGAGACGCTGCAGATCAGTCTCCACCCTCGGCCTCTGCGGAGGGAGCTTGGGTCCGGCTAGCTGGACTCACACAGCTCTGGACTGCAGGAGACGGCCTCGAGCCCCCGCCCCCACTCAGTTGTTTTCCTTTTTTAAAGAGCAAGCCCGATTGGCTTTGCCAGGGGGAACAAAATGTCTGCTTGGGCCTCGGGCGGGCTGGGCGTGGGTGACAGTTGTTCAGGGAGTTCGCTGTCTGCAGGGCCTGCTGCCAGCACCTGTTGACCTTGTGGGAAGTTCCATTTGGGCACAGCCCCTCCTGCGGGGGAAGGGGGAGGTTACGGCCCCATTTAGATTGTTGCCAGGCAATCCACATCTTCAGGGTCAGGCTGTCCTGTTTGTCTTTCCACAAAGCATAGCTTTAACAACATCTAGATTGTCGAGGGAACATGAAACGGAGCTTGTTTTTTTAATCCAGTTCTCATCATTGCCCTAAGAAGTGACTGATTTGAAACAACTTTTAGATGATCTGCGTGCAAGAAAAACCACAGGGACAGCCAGGCGTGGCGGCTCATGTCTGTAATCTCAGCACTTTGGGAGGCCGAGACAGGCGGATCACCTTAAGTCAGGAGTTCAAGACCATCTGGCCAACATGGTGAAACCCCATCTCTACTACAAAATACAAACGTTAGCTGGGCATGGTGGTGCAGGCCTGTAATCTTAGCTACTTGGGAGGCTGAGGCAGGGAGAATTGCTTGAACCTGAGAGGCAGAGGTTACAGTGAGCCGAGATGGCGCCACTGCACTCCGGCCTGGGCAACAGGGCAAGACTTTGTCTCACAAAAAAAAAAAATAAATAAATAAAAATAAAAAAAAAAACCCACAAGGACAAATATCCCATAAGCTGATGCTGTAATGATGTTGTCACAAATTACCAGTGGCCTCAACGGAGTGTGGTAGTTTTACAATTTACTGTTTAAATAATCCAATAAATACAAACTACTTAAATGGTATAGGTTCAATAACGCTACAAAAATCTTTAATTGTTTAATAATTTAGGGCTACATTTCATTATTTCATCTCTATTATATTTTAATCCATCTTCTATCAATGCCATAGAAAATCTTCCCTCTAGACCTGTGTGTCCAGTAAGGTAGGGACCAGCAACGTGTGGTTACATAAATGAAAATTACAATTAACTAATTTAAACGAACAGCTAGTTCCTCCATCACCCTATCCACATTTCCAGTGGTCACGCGTGGCTGGTGGCTACTTGATTGGGTAACACAGCTAAAGGACACTTCCATCATTGCAGAAAGTCGCATGGACAGTGTTGCCGACTTTTGGCAGGAAACAAAGTCTTGAATTGTCTGGTGTCCAGGTCTCATCAAAAGCTTATTTACACCAGAAATGGGCAGAAAAAAAAAAAGAAAAAAAAAAAGCATGTTTAGGAGAAGCAATATTTGTGGACTGATTGGTGGAAGGGTGCCCATCTCTATACCTTTATTTGAGTTTTAGCCTTGAATCGAGCAAGCCCATGGCAGTGTTTCTGGATCACAGAGTCTATAAAACTGTTTTCGTGGAGACACATTTCAGGATTTTGTCCAAGAACTCATTAAGAAATAACCATGTGGGCCGGGTGCGGTGGCTCACGCCTGTAATCCCAGCACTTTGGGAGGCCGAGGCGGGCGGATCACGTCAAGAGATTGAGACCACCCTGGCCAATATGGTGAAATCCCATCTCTACTAAAAACACAAAAATTAGCTGGGCGTGGCGATAGCTGTAGTCCCAGCTACTCGGGAGGCTGAGGCAGGAGAATTGCTTGAACCCGGGAGGTGGAGGTTGCAGTGAGCCAGGATCGCACCACTGCACTCCAGCCTGGTGACAGAGCAAGATTCTGTCTCAAAAAACAACAGCTGGGCGCGGTGGCTCATGCCTATAATCCCAGCACTTTGGGAGGCCGAGGCAGGCGGATCACGATTGAGACCATCCTGGCCAACATGGTAAAGCCCGTCTCTACTAAAAAATACAAAAAATTAGCTGGGTGTAGTAGTGCGCACCTGTAGTCCTAGCTACTCGGGAGGCTGAGGCAGGAGAACTGCTTGAACCCAGGAGGCGGAGGCTGCAGTGAGCCAAGATCGCACCATTGCGCTCAAGCCTGGTATCTGGTGACAGAGCGAGACTCTGTCTCAAAACAACAACAACAAAAAGAAATAGCCTTGTGAATATTGCTGTGCAGAAAGCGAAGAAGTAAGCATGGTGGGGACCTGTCAAAGGAGAGATGTGCTAGCCTGATGTGGCATTTGATGGTCAAATCTGAGAGAAATTGAGCAGCAAAGTAAATAATGATAAAATGGATTACAGAATTAACCCAGCATGAAAATAGTCCGTACTGGTGTAAATAAATATGTGGAGGAGAATGGGAAGTTCTTCCTAACCACAGAATGCCAACAAATGAACGCAGAGGGAATGATGGAATTAGAACGTCACCATTTGGCTATCGTTGTAGACATAATCGTTTTATGGAAGAGTCAGCAAAGTGGGTTGGATATGAGACAAGAAATTTTTATGACACCAAACTGTCTCCTTCTAAGTATTTATTAATTATAAAGGTAAAAGCTAGTAACTTTAGGCTGGGTACAATGGCTCATACCTGTAATCTCAGCACTTTGAGAGGCTGAGGTGTGCAGATCACAAGGTCAAGAGTTCAAGACTAGCCTGGCCAACATGGTGAAACCCTGTCTCTACTAAAAATACAAAAATTAGCCGGACGTGATGGCCCGTGCCTGTAATCCCAGCTAATCGGGAGGCTGAGACAGGAGAATTGCTTGCACCTGGGAGGTGGAGGTTGTAGTGAACCAAGATCGTGCCACTGCACTCCAGCCTGGGCAACAAGAGCGAAACTCCATCTCAAAAAAAAGAAGGTGAATGTATGGGAAAATACAACAAATACAACATTGGGGAATCTAGATGAAGAGTATTAGCAACTTCTTTGTACCTTTTTTGCAATTGTTTGTGATCTGAAATTACTTCAAAAATGAAAATGAATAGAATAAATAACCTTATGAAATCCATTACTATACTTGTGGGAGGCATAAACCTCTGCATCCCAACTGCGAAACTTCGTATTAGCAAATTCCTACAATCAAAAGTTATACAAGCTTTAATTTTTTCCAAAGATTGTGTAGTTTCTTCTATTGCCTGTTAAAAGTACGAAACTGTTTCCCTTTTATTCTTAATGCTCAGAAAGCTCAGGGCTAACTCTAGTAGTTTCTGTAGTTTCTAGCTACCTATATTGACCATGGAGGACCCTATAGAAAATGCCCTGTGGGCTGGGTACGGTGGCTCACGCCTGTAATCCCAGCACTTTGGAAGTCCAAGGTGAGTGGATCAACTGAGGTCAGGTGTTCGAGACCAGCCTGGCCAACATGGTGGAACCCCGTCGCTACTAATAATACAAAATTAGCCGGGTGTGGTGGTGCATGCCTGTAATCCCAGCTACTCGGGAAGCTGAGGTGGGAGAATTGTTTGAACCTGGGAGGCAGAGGCTGCAGTGAGCCGAGACTGAGCTGCTGCACTCCAGCCTGGGCAACAGAGTGAGACCCATCAAAAAAAAGAAAGAGAGAGAGAGAGAGAGAGAGAGAGAGAGAGAGGGGAAGAGGAAGAAAGAAAGAGAAAGAAAGAAAGAAAAAAGAAAAGAAAGAGAGAAAGAAAACACTTTGTGCTCCCTACGTTTCCCTAGTCCTGGTACCTTTGTTTGTTTATATCTTTTATTTTTTTTATTTTTATTTTTTTGAGACAGAGTCTCACTCTGTTGCCAGCCTGGTGTGCAGTGGCTAGATCTCGGTTCACTGCAAACTCCACCTCCCGGGTTCAAGCGATTCTCCTCCCTCAGCCTCCTGAGTAGCTGGGATTATAGGCACCCACCACCACACCTGGCTAATTTTTGTATTTTTAGTAGAGACGGGGTTTCACCATGTTGGCCAGGCTGGTCTTGAACTCCTGACCTGTGGTACACCCATCATGGCCTCCCAAAGTGCTGGAATTACAAGTGTGAGGTACCGCGCCCAGCCCTGTATCTTTTTCTTTCTTTCTTTCTTTCTTTTTCTTTCTTTCTTTTTTTTTTTTTTTTTTTTTTTTTTTGAGAGAGGATCTTGCTCTGCTGCCCAGGCTGGAGTACAGTGGTGTGATCTTGGCTCACTGCAACCTCTGCCTCCTGGGCTTAAGCGATCTTCCTGCCTCAGCCTCTTGAGTACGTGGGACCACAGCTGTGCACTACCTGGCTTGTTATAGTTCATCTGCACAAATCTTCAGTGGACCAAGGCAGGGCAGGGGACACACAGCGGCATCTTTGTACTCAGCCTCTCTGTGTTCTAGACTCTGTACTTTTCATCCTCTGTCTTGCTTCATGTGCAGCAGGTCCTCAAATAATGGTGTTTCATTTGCACGTTCTCTCCATGTCTGCACGGGTCTTCTCCTCAGATGCCAGGTTCCTCCCATGTCCCAGAGCTGTTTCCATGAGGTTCAGTGGTGAGTCTTCATGGTCCCAGTGTGAGTGTGACAGTGGGTGACTGAGGGTGAGTGTGGGTGTGTGTGGGTGTGTGAGTGTGTGACAGTGAGTGAAGGTGAGTGTGGGTGTGTGTGGGTGACTGTGGGTGAGTGTGGGTGTGTGTGACAGTGAGTGAAGATGAGTGTGGGTGAGTGTGGGTGTGGGTGAGTGTGGGTGTGTGAGTGTGGGTGACTGGGTGAGTGTGGGTGTGAGTGTGACAGTGAGTGAGCGTGAGTGTGGGTGTGTGTGACGGGGTGAGGGTGTGTGGGTGTGAGTGGGTGTGTGTGACAATGGGTGAGGGTGTGTGGGTGTGAGTGTGGGTGTGTGTGACAGTGGGTGAGGATGAGTCAGGGTGAGTGTGGGTGTGAGTAGGTGTGACAGTGGGTGAGGGTGTGTGGGCGTGAGCGTGGGTGTGTGTGACTGGGTGAGGGTGAG